TGGGACCATGCTAAGAAGTTGTATTCTGGTCAAGACAATACAACCAGAGTATATCAGCTGTATCGGGAATACTTTAATCTACAATAGGGCAATCAAAGTCTTGAGGAGTACTATGCTAGTATGAGAAATATTCGTAATGAGTTGAATGTTTATCACCCCCTCACTTCTGTGTCAAAATTCAGCAACAACAGAGAGAACAGCTTGATGTGACTCGATTTTTGGTAGGGCTGAAATCTGAGTATGAACCAGTGCGGGCTCAGGTACTAGGAGGGTCAGCTCTCCCTTCCTTAGAAGAGGTGCTTGCTCGACTTCGAAGGACTTCCATTGGATCTACTGAGAATTCTAATGTTTCTGATAGATCAGCCTTTGTAGTATCAAGTGGCTCGGGTCCGAGGAGATGTACTCATTGTGGTATGGATGGACATACCATTAATTATTGCTATGACTTGCATGGTCCACCCTCAACTTGGGCCAATCATGCCCTGACTAGTGACACCAGTTTCGGACAAGAGAGTCATTCAGCTGATCAGATGCCTCCTACATCCACAGATGTTCCTGGGAAGGAGATGGTGAGTGTTCCTCGTGATAAGTATGAGAGGTTTGTCCAATCCACATCTCAGCAGAACACGGCTACTTTCGCACACTTAGGTATGGCTTGTTTGGCATCCACACCCAATCCCAGGATTATTGACTCTGGAGCCTCCGATCACATGACTAGAACTCCAAGTATGTTTTCTTCCCTCTCTCATTGCTCAACATCACAATCTACTACCCTTGCTAATGGTTCCACATCCTTGATTTGTTGTGTTGGCAGTGTTAACATGACCCCCTTATCTTTATCCTCAGTTTTGTATGTCCCTAAATTTCCGTTTAACCTTATGTCTGTTAGTAAGTTGACCAAGTCACTCAATTGCTCTATTACATTTTACCCTTCTTTGTGTGTTTTTCAAGATCTCAAGACGGGCATGAAGATTGGTGGAGGGCATGAAGCTGGTGGATTGTGCTATCTTGACGGTGGTAGAAGAACATCAACAGTTCTCCAGTCATCTCTCTCTCCTCTCCAGTGGCACTGTCGATTTAGTCATCCTTCGCTGAAAGTTTTGAAATCTTTGGTTCCTTCATTGAGTCAACTTTCTGTTTTGAAATCTTTGGTTCCTTTTTCTTTGGTTCACTCAGATGTTTGGGGTCCTTATAAAGTGATGTCATATAATGGATATAGATATTTTGTCATTTTTGTTGATGATTATTCAAGGATGACGTGGCTCTATTTAATGAAAGAAAGGAGTGAATTGTTTACCATCTTCCAAAAAATTTATGCTGAGATTCACAACCAATTTGGTGTTCACATTAAAATTTTTCGTTCCGATAATGGCCGTGAATATTTCTCTTCATCATTTCAAGAATACTTGGACCAACATGGCATTATACATCAGACCTCRTGTACCTACACCCCACAACAAAATGGGGTGGCTGAGAGAAAGAGTCGTCATCTTTTGGAAACACCTCGATCCCTCATGCATCACATGAATGTTCCCAAACCCTTTTGGAGTGATGTGGTGCTTACTTCTTGCTTCTTGATTGATCGGATGCCCACGTTTATCCTTGATGGTCATTCCCCATTCACTACCTTGTTTCCCACCTTGTCTCCGTTTCCTCTTTCTCCTCGGGTTTTTGGGTGTGTCTGCTTCGTCCATAATCTGGGTCCCGGGAAGGACAAGTTAGATGCACGATCCATTAACTGCATCTTCCTTGGCTATTCCCAGACCCAGAAAGGGTATAAGTGTTATCACCCTAGTCCTTGACGTTCCTTTGTGTGTGCTGATGTTACCTTCTTTGAGTCTACTCTGTTTTTCTTGGGGTCCGGT